TAATACACCATTGTGCATCTGTGTCACAATTTGTCTATTCATTCGCTTATTGGAGGGCATTTTGTACGGGTTTTCCCTTGGTTTATAGCAACCGTGAAAATAAAGCTGCTAAAATCACTATTGTGCAGTTTTATTTAGACATTAGTTCTTAAGCCAGTTGAGGAATACCTAATACAGTTGTTCAACCACGTGGTGAGAGTATATTTATAATAGTTTTTAAAGTTTTGTGTGTGTGTGTGTGTGTGTGTGTGCTTTGCCTGCATATATATACATATACATCTCATGCATGCTTGGTGTTGGATACCTTGGAACTAGAGTTACAGATGGTTGTGAGCTGTCATGTGAGTGCTGGGAACCCAGGTTCTCTTCAAGAGCAACCAGTACTCTGAGCCATTTCTCTAGCCCCTTCATAGCAGTTTTGTAAAAACTGCCATACTTTTCTTCATGGCTGTATATTAGAAGCACAGTTTTTATCCAGAAGCTATAGGCGAAAGCTCTTGCTCCACATTCTCATCGGCAGCTAATGTCAGTGTTTTGGACTGGGCCATTCTAATAGTTGTAGGGTGATAGTTCATTGTTTTTCTAACTAGTAACTCTCTGGTGACAAGTTATGTTTATCCTCTTTCCACATAATTATTTTTCTTTTGTATATCTTATTTGATAAGGTATCTGTTTAGATTAAATTGTTTTCTTATCATTGGGTTCACAAGTTCTTTGTATACTTTAGATATAATCCTTTATTAGACATGTGTTTTGCAAATATTTTCTCCTGCTCTGTAACTGGTCTTTTGGTCATCTTAATAGCATCTTTCACAAGGTAGGTCTTAACTGTAATGAAGGCCAAGTCAGCAACCTTTTCTTTTACAGGTGGTGCCTTTGATGTAGCTAATCGCTCATCACCAAACCCTGAGCAACTCTCAGTATGCTCTCTTATATAATTACTGTACCACTGCTCTCAGGGAGAGGATGTTTTCTCCATTTTTGAGGAGAAACAGTTGCCTACCACGTTTATCTCTGAATTGCCTTTAAACATGCCAAAGGTGCCAAAAGAGAAAGTCAATAGAAATGACAAAAGACAAAGCCTTAATATCCATGAGGATTTGGTTCTCTCGTTTACACCACAGTTGTATGTACTGTAATATAAATATTGTGTTATTGGGGCTGGAGAGATGGCTCAGGGGTTAAGAACACTGACTGTTCTTGCAGAAGACCCGGGTTCAAATCCCAGCACCCACATGGCAGCTAACAACTGTCTGTAACTCCAGTTCCAGGGGATCTGACAGCCTCTTCTGACCTCCTCAGCCATTGCATGACAGAGGTACACTTACCTACATGCAGGCAATACACGCATACACATAAAATAAAAATAAGAAATAAAATATAAATAAATAAATACCGTGTTATCATTGCTGAGGTATATATTAGTACCACCACCACCACCACCCAACCGCCACCAGTGCCAGCACCTCACCACAACCACTACCACTAATACTACCACCACGCCATCACCACCACCACCATCAGCACTACTACTACACCTAACACTACCACTACACTACGCACAACAACCACCACCATCACCACAACCACTATCGTGACCACCACACCATCACTACCACCTCCCAACAGAATCCCCAGTACCACCACTACCACTGCTGTTCTGATAAAACAGGTACTTTATTAGCAAATGCCATGGTTTCTTTTAAAAATATATTATTTTTATTTTATGTGTATGAGTATTTGCCTGCATGTATGTATGTATGTGTCCCATATACATACTTGATGCCTGTGGAGGCCAGACAAGGTCATCAGATCCCCTGGAACTGGAGTTACAGCCATTCGTAAGCTGTCATGTGGGTGCTGGGAACTGAACCTTGGGCCCAGGTCCTCTACAAGAGCAGCAAGCGCTCTTAATGGCAAAGCCACCTCTCCAGCCCCAAATGCCATGTTTTTTTGATTCGATGACTACTTCACCCAGCACAGTGGCATACTTCTCAGCAAACTGGACCAACTTCAAGGAAGGTCAAGCTTAAATTCCTGAGGAATGTCACACAGCCAGCAAGTGCCAGACCCAGGATTAGAGTCAGGAATGAGACTCTGTAACTCAAGACCTAGAGAGGTCTGGAGATTCAGCGCATGTGCCAGGGCCCTTGACAAGGACAGCCATGCTCAAGAGACTGATGTCATCCCCACTTGGAGAGGCAGTCTCCTCCTTCTCTGCTGACAGCCTTCCTGTGGCCTCCAGTATCCTACAATTTAGGGTTCCCACTCCCTCCAAAGCACAAACTAGCAAAGGGGAAGCAGCCCTAGGACCTGTCTTTTGCCAAAGCGTGTGAATATGGGAAAGGACCTGCTCTTCAAGAAGGGTGAAGAGTTTGAAAAAGAAAAGAAAAGAAAAGAGCTGTCACTATTTCTTTAAATGATAAAGCATTTGCTATCCTCAATTTTTGCCAAAACAATAATGCGTTCAATAAAATGTATTGAGGGAGCTTATAACTCTTCTAAATGGAGCTGTACAGAAGTGCTCCCTGGCTGTGAACGCATTGATTTATTGGTACAGTCCTGTTAGATGGCTGGGGCCAGGGAGGCCACAGCTCTGAAAGCTCAGTTTCCTGAGAGAAAGAGGCCTTTCTCTGAGGGATGGCCTCTGCCCTCCAGTGCCAGCAACGGCCTGGCGCCTCTGGAAGGAGTGAGAGCTGCGGGACTCTGAGAGAGCTGCTTTCAGAGCCCTGTGTGAGGAAAGGAGCCCCTCTCTCCCTGCTGCCTCATCTGATCTGAACACAGCCAGCAAACATAACCACGAGTCAAGCTCAGACCTCCCAACTCCAGCACCCCTCTAGGGATTCTATGGCCTTGGGTGTCCCTCTCCCCCACTAACATACTGACTGCCCTGGAGTCTAAGATGTAAATTAGAGTTCTGTTGAACTAATGACTAACCTTGTGACCTTGCCTGACATCTACGAACCACTATGTGCAAACCAGGAGTAATAAGCCCTCAGCACCGCACAAGCTGTCAGTCAAGGTCTTCCTTCCCTTTTCTTGCAAGGCCTTCAAACTCATCACCTACGTTTGCACACCTCACTGCCTGGGACCAGTAGCTTTGTCCCGTGTCCTACCTAAGCCCTAAACATCAATACATCTGCAGAGGAGGCTTCAGAGTGACTGCCGCCATTCACATTTCAAAGACCCCAAAATGTGGCTCAGGGCTCCACTGCAGTCATTGAGACTAAGATAGAGTCAGGACAACAAGCAGTTCAGAGGATTAAGCAGGCAACCCATGTCACTAAATCTTCCTTCAGGATTAATCCAAAGCCCAAAGATCACCAGTAAGCCTGAGCCAGTGGGACAGAATGCAACAAAAGACTTTCCAGGCCTTGGTCCAATGAAGAAGCTAAGAGTAGATGGTGCATAGGTGCATGGAATTTATCACTCCCTCATGCCTCGTGTTATTTTTAGAGGCAGTAAACTCTCTTGGAAAGAACATGGGCCCTAAAAGTTGGGTTTGCCCCAAGTTGTACCAGCTGTATGTGACCTTAAGTAAGTTACTTCACTTCTCTGGGCCTTGCTTTCTTCTATAGAGAAATGAGGCTTCTTGTATAGATCACACAGAGTCATGAAGGATTCAGAGATAATGTATAAAAATGTATGTCCTCCAAGCACTGGAGAACAGCTGGAGGAACTGACAACACAGTGGACGGTAACAGGGATGACAGAGTACATGGGCTCCAGTCAGGGGTGGGGGGTGGCAGTCATGGGAGGGTATCACTTGGGATGTGGGTATATAGATGAATAAGATTGGTTTGGGACGTTCTGTATGAAATACACACAAAAAAATCAATAAATTAAAAAATGAGCTATATTTGAGGAAGAAGCATAAAAAATTGCTTCATGTTAATTAATAGATGTGAAAAACATTACCATTGAAATCTACCTGATCACTTTATATCCATGCTCAGGTGCCAAGGATCTCAGAAAGTAACCGACTGTGACTAGTGATAATCAGATACATAGAGATTAGAAACACATGTGCAAACATCTAAATGTTAGTTGCATTAAAAATGAGTTTTTCTGTATGAAACATTATGTTTTAAAATTAAATGGAGATCTTTTTTAAAGGTGAAAATCTCTTTCAGTTTTATGTCTTAAAGGATTTATATGGAGTACAATATTGTACAACTGTATTAATTCAACTGTAAACCTAAAAATTTACAGCCAATTTTGAAAGAGATGCATCTTTGCTCTGGAAATTGTTATTGAATACGTCAATGCTGTTGTAATGAAATGCTTCTTCTAATTATGTGGTTATTAAACAAATAATTTTTTAAAAAAACATGTTAAAAAAAATGTGTGTCCTCAAAGAGTCTGTACATGCCACATGAATGTGAGCAGCCCTGGCTGGGGTAAAGGCTAGGCTCAGATGTCAAATCAAGTCTGTGGTTCTTGTGCTACTTTCTCCTTTCTTGGGACTCTGTGGTGCCTTATATGCTTCATATTAACATCACCTCATGATTTCTTCTCACTGACTCAGCTATGGCTTCTCAGAAACAGGGTTCTCTAATAATTGTGTTTGTTTTCCCACACCAGGCTACCCAAGAGTTCCTAGAAATGTACATCAACCTGAGAGCACTTTGAAACTGGTCTGCGATCTGTGATGATTAACTAGGATATTCATCAAGGTGCCCCACTTCCGCTTCTCCACTGCAGATATTTTTTCATCAGAAACCATGCATCTGCCATCACTCCAAGCTAGACCCATGGTGGGTGTTCAGTGAATATACATGGAAATCAAGAAGAAGGATAGGAAGGAGGGGGAATGAAGGAGAAAGCCCCTCCCTAGCAGCAGCCAACCCAGGCTGTTCTGCCATGTAACCATTGAACAGTCCCAGCTCTCATCCCTCTCTCTGAGACTAGTGTCTTGGACTGTTTTTAGCTGTTATAACAAAATGCAACAGACAACTTAGTTTTCAAATAATAAATTTACTTGGTTCATGGCCCTGGATGATGAGTTATGAGATATTGTGTCTTGAATCTAAGATTTCCCCCACAGGCTCATGTTTTAAAAACTTGATCTTCAGCTTGTGGTACTGCTCAGAAGGTCATGGAGCCTTTAGGAGCTAGGGCTGGGATGGCAGGCGTAGGTCACTAGAAGTGGGCCTCTGGAGGGTATACCCACCTCTGGCTCCAGTCTGAGCACTTTGCTTCCTTTGTGCTGTATGAGACACCTCCACACATGGTTCTGCTGCCATGAACTCCACTTTGCCTTCCCCACTGTAATGGATACAAATCCTTATGAAACAGTGAGCTAAAACTGAACTTGCCACTTGTGCTGGTTAGTCTTTATTGCCAACTTGACACAATGTGGGAAGAGGGGCCCTAGGTCAGGTGGGCCTGTGAGGCATTGTCTTAATTACTAATTGATACAGGATAGCCCAGCTTACTGTGGGCAGTACCATCTCTAGGCAGGTGGTCCTGGACTGACTGAGAAAGTTAACCAATCCTGAGCCTGAGAGTGAGCCGGTACGTAGCATTCTTCCATGGTTTCTGCTTCGTTTCTGCTTGAGGGCTCGCCCTGGCTTCCCTAGTGATAGATTAGGACCTAGACGTGTGAGCCAAACGAATGCTTTTCTCCCCAAGTTGTTTTTGGTCAGACTATTTTATCCCAGAGACAGAAAAGTGATATATTTTGTCCCAGCTACAAAAACAGTAACTGAGGAACGAGAGGAAGATGCTGTGTGACCTCCTCATTAAGCTGGATGAGAAGTACCTGCCTTCCTTCGCTTTGCCCTTACACAGCCGTGAGCTTCCGTGCCTACGCCTAGGCTGTTTCTTGTTATTTGAAATGACTCCTCCCAGCCCCAAACCATACACCCCTCTCTGTGCTTCCTACCATCACTCTGCTGGCAGCAGCCAGTTTGCCAGGTCCCTCATGTTTCAAAAGGCAGCTGAAGTGTCACCCTGCTAACAGAGGAGCTGGTTTCCCAGCAGGCATGCAGAGGAAGTTTGAGGAGCTCAGGTACTCTAATCAAACTTCAACTCTAGCATCAACGACCCTCTGACCTTGGGAAAGTCCCCTCTCAATTCTTAGCCTCTGTTTTCACAGCCGTAGCATGAAGTAACAGCACCTTCTTCACAAGGTTGGTGTGAGAAGCAAGTTGGTTAACAAATGTAAATACTATGACAGAACACTTGGCACATGGAGCCAATGACAGCCTTGTATATAAATATTAGAAGGCTATCTCACCTTCTCTCCTCTCAAGGCACCAGATACTTACTCTTAGATTGCCATTTAGCTCACTGTCCTCACAGCTGCACTATTACCTGTGACCCTACTAAGAATGTAGGCAGGAGCTGTCTGTATTTGTTCCCATGGCCCAATATGAGGATTGTTTGTTGCATGAGTGAATGAATCAGTGAATGAATGGATGCATAAATAAATAGAGTAAATCAGTAGACTATGATTAGGTCACATGGGCAGAAACATTTATTCTAAACCTTACTAGGGCTGAAGACAGGGCTTCCTGGAATGACTCAGGTAAGAATCCCACCTAGGATGTCACCCTGGGCCCTACAGGAACATAGAACAATAGTGACAGTGAGACCAGAAAGAGGATTTTTGTTACTACGGTGATGGTGGTCTTTCTCACCTGCTCCCAAAAGCCTACTGGGTAGTTGACCATCAATAAACCTTTGGTTGGAATTCATAGGTTCATTCATTAATCTAGCAGGTATTTATTGAACCAGACACTATCCCAGGCCATGGAGTTCAGCATGGATAAGAGAGGCCCATTTCTAGGGGAGACAAAGGGAATATGATTGCCTTGGGGATTACGTGGGCAGTGAGGTGGACTGGGATCACCTGCAGTGGATGTAGGAATGGGAAGGATGTGAGCAGGGCTGCGGGGGGGGATTCCAAAGTCCGTGTCTTTATTTTCACTGCCAGCAGTCTGAAAGCCACTTAACTTATTTCTACCCCCGTGACACAGTATTCACACAGGCACGGCCACATCTACCCGACCTATCACAAGGTCAGTTATTCGTGTTGGGGATGATTGTAGAAAACTCTAGAGCCATGGGAAGTTGATGACTTCCTGGCTCTGTGATCTTCAGCACTTTATCCACCTCTCTGAAATCTGCTTCTCTATCTGTAGACTAGGGATAGCGGTACTCTTGGCAAACCTCACAGACTTACAAGAGGTTTTCGCTTGGACTATAGAGGAGAAAAGATTTGTAAACAGTAAAGACTGCTGATAACAGCTCTGCTGCAGGCCTCAGTTAATCACTCACACTCAATTTCAGATTTGCATAGATACTGACTTGTGGTCCTGGCATCTTTGAGGCCCTGTAATACCCAAGTTGGACCCCTCTAGCTGTACAACTTCCTGAGTGATAAAACATGTATTGTTCTATTTCTCATATGGTTCACTCAGCACTCCTGTGTCCTCATCAAAAAGTGCTCAAAAATTGTTATAGTAAGTATAAATTTACTTATGCTTATAGTAGTAGAATTGGACTTGAATCTCCTCCATCTCTGACTCCCCACTGGAAATAGGAATATTTCTGTCCCCCTAGAATATGTAATTTTTATACCACCAAAAATCATACAGGCTGGTTGTTCTGAGAACAGTGCTGTTGGTAGGTGGGAATTGATTGGGTCATGAGGGCAGGACTCTCATGAATGGGAGAGACAGCTTGTTTGTTCCCTCTAATACATGTCCCCTCAGCAAGAAGATACAATCTGTGAGGAACAAGCCTTCATCCAGACCCCAAATCTGCCAGTACCTTCGTCTTAGACTTCCCAGGCTCCACAGCTGTGAGGGATGAATTCCTATTGTTTATAAACTTCCTAATGAAAAATAATTTGCTTCAGTATCCCACACAATCTGACACATTGGGGAAAATCACCATTTATCCCAGTTACATGCTGACTCTTACTTATTCTCAGGGTAAATCTATGCATTGTACAGGGGAAAAATTTTTTTTTTCATTGTTAGACAAGATGGGAAAATAGGAGTCTAAGTTACTACAATTATACCTATAGTGTGAGCTTGGGCGGAATACTTTCCATCTCTAACAGGAGATTCGATTCTATTTTAGTTCAGATGCTTGTGGCTGCAAGAAAGGAAAAGGAATAATCAGTGACATTATATCACACAGCAAGTAGTACAGTCAGGAGGGCCCAGCATGGGTACTACAACGCCTAAAAGATGTCAGAGCCACAGGCAGCTTGCATGATATTTTTTTTAAGATTTATTTTTATGGGGCTGGAGAGATGGCTCAGCAGTTAAGAACACTGGCTGTTCTTGCAGAGGACCTGGGTTTGAATCCCAGCACCCACACGGCCACTAACAACTGTCCATAACTCCAGTTCCAGGGGATCCAGCGCACTGTTCTGTCCTCCTTGGGCATTGCATGACATGGGTGTACTTATGTACACACAGATTATACACATAAAAAATAAATATTTTTAAAAAGATTTATTTTTATGTGTATAAGTGTTTTGTCTGCGTGTATATGTATATCACACATGTGCAGTACCCACAGAGGCCAGAAGATGGTATCAGATCCCCTGGAACTGGTGTTACAGACAGTTGTGAACCACCACGTGGGTGCTGGGAACAGAACCAGGGTCCTTTGGAAGAGCAAGGCCTCTTAACTACTGAGCCGTCTCTCTAGCCCCTGATTTTTTCTTTATTAGATTTATTTTTATTTTATTTTATGTGGATCTGTGTATGTGCCTGAGTGTACATGCCCACCTCATGCCTGCAAGAGTCCATGAGGTCAGAAGAGGGAGTCAGATCTCCTGGAACTGGAGTATGAACTGTGGAGTTCTAAACTGCATATGGAAGCTGGGAACCAAACACAGGTCCTCTGAATGGGCAGTAAAGTACTCTTCACGGCTGAACTACGTCAGCGCTTTGTTTTTTGATGGTGTAAAACTGGCTCCCTTAGTTCCAACTCCACACCCCCACTCAGTAGCACCCACTGGCAAAAGGAGGAAAGTGTTCGTTCAGGCAGCTCTTAAGAGTAAAAATTAAAAAATAAAAATAAAAAAAATACTTGCCAGATCTGCTGATAGTATTACATGGAAGGTGGGACAGAGGCTGAAAGGGGATTACCATCTTGTAGGGCAATTCATATTCAGATAAAAAAGAGTGGAGATGGCCTCAGGGTGGGTCCTTCACAGTCCATTAAAGGCCAAAGCACAATAAACTGAGATTAGTCTAAGGCCCTTGGAACTGAGAGACTAGCCCTTCTGCCCTTGCCCACTTCCAGCACCTGTCTGGTCTCCCAGGCCACCCACTTCCTGCTGGATGTGACTGAGAGCAGACTGTTGCTGCTGAGTGCCCGACAGGACTCTTTCTTAGCCAGGTGGCACCTCTGGCAGCTAAAAGCATCTCTAAAACTACCCCAACCCACCTTGCTTGGAGTCCCATCATTCCCTTACTGTATCTCTGATAAATAAACAGAAATCATTAATAGTGACCTAAAGCCAGGAGTGAGGGTACAAACCTCTAATGCCAGCACTTGGAAGGCAAAGGAAGGACGATCAAGAGTTCCAGGCCAGCCGGGGCTATGTAGTAAGATCCTGTCTAAAAATAAATAAATAAACAAGAAATATTAGGGCTGGGGCTGGAGAGATGACTCCATGGTTAAGTGCACTGGCCACTCTTTCAGAGGACCCAAGTTTGATCCCCAGCACCCACATGGTGACTAACAACCATCTGTAACTCCGTTCCAGGGGAATTTGACTCCCTCCTCTAATTTCCACAGGCATTGCATGACATGGGTTCCCTTTCATACATGCAGGCAATACACTCATTCACACACACAAAAAATAGGTTTTTATTTTTAAAAAGAGAAATATTAGGACTGGAAATGTGACTCAGCAGTTAAAAGCGTGTATATATACTACTCTTGCAGAGGTCCTGAATTTAGTTCCTAGCACCCAAATCGGGTGGCGCACAACCACTTAGCTCCAGGGAATCTGACACCCTCTTCTGGCCTCCAAAGACACCTATGCTTGCTTATGTGCACATACCCACACACAGCCACATGTGCATACACATAATTTTCTAAAAGAAATAATAAAAAAATTAAAAAAAAAAAAAGAAATAAGGTGCGCACCTTTAACCCCAGCACTCAGGAGGCAGAGGCAGGCAGATCTCCATAAGATCTAGGTTAGCTTGGTCTACATAGTGAGTTCCAGGCCAGCTGTGATTACAAGGAGACCCTGTCTCAAAGAGACAAAAAAAAAATGCTAGATAAGTTGATCGGGCTCCAGTGGATGAACTCATACCAAGGAACATCTGGGCACACAAACTTCACTTTGTAGGCCTTAACATATATGACTGAATGCATGAAATCCTGTGGGCAGGCTATGAGGGGGTGGGTATAGAAAAGGAAGGGGTCTAAATATGATTAAGATGTGTTGTATGAAGTGCACAAAATTCAATAAAAATAAATGTTGGGGAAAAAAAGACAAAAAACCAAAATAAAATACAAAACAAGCCAGAGTGGTGGTGCACACCTGTAATCCCAGTACTCAGGAGGCAGAGGCAGGCGGATCTCTGAGTTCAAGCCCAGCCTGGTCTACAAAAAAAAGAAAAAAAAAAAAAAAAAAGGGAGACCCTGTCTCAAAAAAAAAACCAAAAAAAAAAATTAAAATTAAAAACAAGAAATTAACAAATATAAATTTTTTTTTTTTGTCTTTTTGAGACAGGGTTTCCCTGTAGCCCCAACTGACCTGAACTCACTATGTAGACCAGGCTGGCCTTGAACTCACAAAAATCTGCCTGCCTCTGCCTCCCAAGTGCTGGGACTAAAGGTGTGTGCCACCACACCCGGCCTAAGATTGGAATTTTTTTTACCTCATATAAGTGAGCAATCTGAAATCTGGGGCTCACTGGTCTCTGGAAAGTCAAATTCCCCCTATCTTTCTGATTTTCCTCGGCACATGCCTACCCCCAAATTTACTTTACAGTCCAAGATCTGTCATGGTATCTCATTCATAAATTGTGTCTCATTCTAATTTTAAAAGAAGATGAAAAGGAGAAAAACAAGCAGGAAGAGCAGGAGGAGGAGGAGGAAGAACAGGTGGAGGGTAATAACCTGCTCATCATCTTCTTTTGCACCCCTCCCAGACCATCTTCTTTCTTCTCATTGGCCAGAATGTGATCTTGGTGCCTTGCCTTGATGCTAAGGAGACACACACATGCGCGCGCGCACACACACACACACACACACACACACACACACACCATTTAAATTGGTAAAAGATTGAATTATTTTCTTTTCTTTTCTTTTTTAGATTGAAACTTGAAACTTGCCCAAGAGCTAGAAACTTGCCACAATTCCATGTCTCATTTACAGAGCACATTGTAAACTCTGGACAAAAGACCTGGGCTGTTTGTAATGGCAGCCTCATAGGACAGGCCACAGTGGTATGCTATCATGTGTTTTATAATGGCTGGTTTCTCTCTGGATGGTTAAGAAACCCCTGGTGTGTCACTTCACTTTATCATCATCCTCAGGGCTAATATGGAGGTGGGACTACAGGCCATGTGCAGTGAAATGAATCCAAGGATAAGATTCATTCATTTTGTTCATTTATATATTCAACAACCATAGGTCCAGGATCCTTGTATGTGTCATCCTGCGCCTAGTTCTGAGGAGTCAGAGATTTATTAAAGAATGGTTTCTACAAGTTCAGAGCGACTTTGCAAAATGCCTGAGAATCCATCCACTAAGAAAGTGTTAAGGGCTGGAGAGATGGCATCGTGGTTAACAGCACTGGCTGCTCTTGCAGAGGACTTGGGTTCTGTTCCCAGCACCCACATGGCAGCTAACAACCATCTGTAACTCCAGTTCCAGGGGATCTTAGACCCTCTTCTGGCCTCCAAGGGCATTGCATGCATGGGTACACTTACATATATCAGTATGCATACACATAAATTATTTTTAATTATTTTTTTAAAGCCACACCTCCTTTCCGGAGTGCCCAGGCTGACCATCAGCTGAACAAGATTTTAGAGCTCAGAGGAAGGAGGGGGAGGGGGAGGGGGAGGAGGAGGTTAAATTCTGCATTGAGGTTGGGCACAAATGAATGGGAGATTGAAAGAGGGCTAGCTAGCACAGGCAAGGGTTCTGGGCAGCACAGTCAAGATCTTTGAAGATGAGCAGGCTGTGCACAGAGGAGCTGGCTAAGTTCAAGAAGGAGCTAGCATGTGAATAGGTAGGAATCCATAAAAGAGTAGATCGTGTTCCGGAAATGGTTTTCCACAGAACATTGACCCTCATGTAGAGGATCTGGTTTCTGAGCTTTTCCTAACAACTGGATTGTTTATTCTGCCAATTTGAAATCAGAGATCTGGGATTAGATCCCAGTTCTACTACCTTCCAATGTGAACTGAGGCCAGGGACTTCATCTCAATGATCCCAGTGTCCCCAGCTCTGGAGGTTAGTGGCAGGGACTAGAGAAGATATTGTGTGCAAACATATCCAGCATGGTCCTTACAGTCCTCCCCTACCCCCAAAGTAGACAGTCACAGGTAAGTGACTGAATAAGAAAGCAAGCACGGCCCCTGTGCTGGTGGTGTTTTTAAGTCACTGGAAAGGGTAAAGAAAAAAAAAGAATGAAAACAGGTGAGAGAAAAGTACGCCCCAAAGTAGACAGTCACAGGTAAGTGACTGAATAAGAAAGCAAGCACGGCTCCTGTGCTGGTGGTGTTTTTAAGTCACTGGAAAGGGTAAAGAAAAAAAAAAGAATGAAAACAGGTGAGAGAAAAGTACAATGCCTGCCAGGGAGCAAAGTGTGCTGTTAATCCCTGGGGTGGGGGTCGGAAGCTAGCAGAGAGCTTTTAAAGCAGGAGAAAGGTCACCACTTACGGAGGACAAATAACCACACCACACAGCACTATGACCAGCCTCCTGTAATTCCCATGACTGGCTGGGCTGGTTTCCTTTTCTGGAAAGTGGGAAAGTGATCCTGACCAGCTGAGTTCTGGGGCTGTGTTGGGGCTTGCAGGCACTTGGGGAGGGTATGGGCCAGCAGCCTGGTGAGCTCAGATGTCTCTGTACGCACAGCTCAACCAAGCCTGACCTGGCCACAG